AAACTAAAAATAGAAGAAAAATTGTGTAAATATTTCTGCAAACTACATGATACATAAAATCTATCGATAAAAGAAATATGTCAACCAAATCTAGCATATTTGTATAAAAATAAGTGATTTTTTTTGCGTTGTAAGAAAACGAATATTCCTTTGCTTCTATAAGGGCATCATGCACTGTTGCAGCATTTCATATTTTCCTTAGCAAAACTATTCTCTTAGCATTTTACCTACTTCTTGGAATGAAGTGTTCCGTTAGTGTTTAGACTGAATTCTTTGAAAGTTGTTTTTACATAGGAAATATTATTGGCAATTCTTTTGTGCACTAGCTTGAATGTCGGGACGTGAAAGTTATTAAAAAACCAATTTTCTCGTTGCGTTGTATAACATGTTTTGTAAGTAAAATACGGACTAGGAGGATGCGAATTTACCTTTAAGATGTGTTGAATTTAGCAAAAATAATTTTCCTCTCCTTGCAATAGATTACGTGAGTAGAAACGAATTATTGCCTTCATAAATATATTTGTTACCAAAAAACAATATATAAAAAAACAAGTAAAACAAAAATGAAATATGTACGGGGCGCGCCGAAATACATGCCGCCATAAATCGTCGAAACAAAGTTTCAGTTTTTCGAGGTGTGTTTATGAACGTTTAATTCTAACCCAGCTGGAGGTTTTTCCTTTTATTCCATTGTATATATGGTTTTGTTTGGAACTTAAGATATTTTACTATGTTTCAACTATTTTTATTATCACTTGAGACATTTATATTATAAATAAAATATATACAGTGGAACCTCGCTTAACGAGTTTAATCCGTCCAAAAATTTCCTCGCTTGTTATGCGAGCTTCCACTGTATTTAAGAAGTTAGTAGTTCCACCATCATAGATTTAAATGGAAAGTCAATTTAATTACATTAAGTATATACAAAAAGTAAATTACATTTTTTAGGTAATCATGACTTGGATTTTCTACTCTGTATTCATTCGAATTGATTTCTTTAGTTTTCGACTTGTCTTAATGATCCGTTCCGATTGAAACTTCAGTTTCCTCAACATTATATATTTTTTTAAATTGTATATAACATTAAACATTTTTAAGTTCTTATATTCAACTTCTAAATTTAGTCGTGAAAAAAGTATTGATTTCTATTGATTAAACTTATTACTACATCTTAAATACAATTGTTTTCTAATATCCGAAGCATCAAATTTAGAGATTATTAATATCAATTAATCGCAATACTGAATATGAATATCAGAATTGAGAAGAATATGTTGATATATTTAGTTCACAATTTCAAATGTTTAGTCAACTGGAATAAATAAATTCCATATAATAGTAAGAAAATTACTTAAATAGTTTTATCAAAAATAAAAATTTTAATACCAGGACAGAAAGTGCTATGGTCAATATTCCTTTGCAGCATTTGAATTTTTGTTTTATTTTTATTATTGTATTTAAGTTTCATTTTGTATTTTTATAGTTGCAATAAATGTTATTATTATTAATACCAATTAATATAATATATATTTATTTTAACTAAAATAATCTGTGAACGTCAGAAATATTCATTCGTTATTATTTCTCAGAACCACGCAAATATACTATCAATATATTGCAAATATTGGTAAACCTCGTTTTACGCCGATTCACAATAACTGTGAAATAACGCTTATTAATTGCTGATTTTACACAATTTTTTAGAACAAAACTCTATAGTTTATGAGGATTCTAATCGCGACGGCTTTTGTAGGAATCCCGGTGTTAAACGACGTTTACCTGTACAGTGGAACGAGCATAGTCCGTTCCAAAATTTCTGGATTTTTACTAGAATAGTGAAATAATTTTCCCCATATAAACAAATGTAATATAACTTAATTTTTTTGTTTTGATAAATATCATTATTGTCATATAAATATATATGTATCAGTTGTCTGCATGGAAAATTACTTTGATGAATTAAAAAAATTTTTAGCAACTTTGTTTGGGGTTGATGTTTCGTTTTCTGATTTGTCCTTTTTGGCATATTTCTATTGTAGTCAAGTTTGTTTTGCTTCTCGGATGAATGCTCTTTGCCATTTCGCGTGTCGTTGGTTGGATGTTGCCATGGTTGCGAGTCTAATGCAATCCTGTTTATTATACAATGGCGAATGCGCCGGGTTACTGTCCACATATCCCCCGATTTACACGGTATATAGGTTCCTAAGAAAAACGTCTAAATCGAAATTGTAACTTTCTGAATATAAAACCGTGTAAATCGAAAAGTAATGCATTTGATAATAGAAAACTTCTAAAAAGATGTTGCGTTTAAACCGAGTGATATCGATATTTTCAAAATTTATTTTAATTTATTTTTTTAAACCGTATAATAACGAGGGATACGTGTATTTTTAAGTTGACAACCACAGTTAAATAAGTTTGAAGAAAATCTTTTAAGAAATAGTACAATTTATAAAATCAAGAATTGCAAGTCTTAAACTGAATTTAGTTTTATTATAATTAATACTAAGATTTAAATGTAAACAATTAAAGTATTACAACTGTTTAATTGTTTATCTTAATTTTATTTATTTAAAAATATAATGTACGTAATATATTGTATGCATTTTCTTAAGTTTTGGTTTCCAACAACTTCCGCATAGTTCAGCCCCGCAATGTATTATTGACTATTGCACGTGACTAAAATAATCACCTATGATGTGAACGTGTCTCGGAATGTTTGACCCCAGATTCTCCACAAGCGATAAGTTGTTGTTAGTTTATGACACAATAAATTAATAGACTTTTCTTATCTTTCTATATATAAGACTACACAAGTTGCTCAACTTTTTGTTTATATATTAAATATTTGTTAACAGGAAAAATATCTAAGTGATGATTATATTTAACAATTTAATAATTGTTATTAAAGAAATATGCTGAATTATAAATAGCCATTAGATTAAATTGATATTGTAATATGTAACCTAAAATTATGTTTAATAACTCAGCACCTATATTGTAATTAACTGTGGTAAATATACATGTCAGTGATATTATATATTGGAATATTAAACATCAATTTCACATGTTACAATTGATTAATATTTGGAAGTTACGACAGGTTAGGTAATGTTTACATTAATTATTGAAGTTAAAGGTAGAATATACGAGTATACAATATTAGTTTAGAAAGAGAATTCTTAATACTCTTGTTTTATTTTTAAAAAACTGAGTCTAATAAAATATAATAGTAATTATATAAATACAATAAAACCTCGCTCAACGAGCATAATCCGTTCCAAAATTTAACAATATTTTTGTCATAAAAGATTTTGTATCAAAATGTTTATATTTTTAATCAAATAAATAATGTATTCTTATATTTTAAGTCTAGGTTTTTTAATTGGAAATCCCGGTTTTCGAATTATATAAACTTCTTAAAAAGCCAGTTTTCATAAACAGGGACTTAAAAACCGACAAACCCTAATAAATATTGCTTTACTCTATTATTTTTTTTAAGTTTTCGCCTCAATTTGAATATATTTGGTTAATTTTATAATTAAAAGTTTTACAAATTATTGCTATAGAAATAAATATATTGCGTTCATGAGAGGATCATCGTGCGTGCGTTCACCGCACTGAATCATTTATCATTTTTTTGCCAATAAAAAGCAAGACATGAATATCAAACAGTATTATATACATTATTTAGTAACTCTTGGTTGTAGTACATACATCATAGCATGCAAACACAGCCTTTCTACGTGACATGTATTTCTGTTTTCTTCGCTTAAAAATTGCCATAGAAAGCAGTGCAGAAGAAACATCTTCTAATGTAACACCAAATATTAAGTTTGTTCTTATTGTTTATTCAATCTATTTAATAAAACTATAGTTTTAATTAAATTTATTTTTTTAAACAAATAATTTTTTGGTTATTTAAAACAATATTTAGGTAATAAGAGAATAATCAAGAATAATATAATTTATTTATTTTACTATTTACAACAAGATACATAAATTATAATTTCAATGACTACTTGCGGTCAGCAACAACAGATGATAATCGTTGATCTTTCTCGAGGCGCCACATTTTCTGCGGTCAGTTAGGGCTACGAATTATGATACTAAATATCAACAAGACCATACCCAATAGATACCAACGACTCTCCAGTTTCATGCACAGATGTTGACAATATACTAAAATATACAGTTAGTACAAAAATATTTAACAACTCTTCCTGTTTTGTTTAATTACAAACATGTATGTTTATTATTAATTAACTAATTACATTATTTGCATCTTCTAGATTCAAATAAAAATAACAATAAATGTGTATTGTAATCTCTTCTTAATTATCGAGAGAAAAGAAAAGTAGATCAGAAATATAAGAAATCATATAAAATCCCATCAATATACCGCAAAAATTCATTTAAAATTCACATTATAATGCAATAGTTCGTTAAGAGCATATTTGTATCTTGTGATTCCGTATAGTATTGTATATTATCATTACAGCCCAATATGCTACAACCATATATTTAAATTACCTGACTCATATGTACATAATTAACAATTTTACCCTAAAGTTGTTTAGATAATTCTTGTACCACATATATATATATATTTATAGTGAAAATCATTTTGAATACGGGAATGGGTTAGTTTAGTACGGGAAAGTAAAGAAAAGTGAATATAAATTTTGCATTTAACCTGGTACTCTGGGTTTAATTCGGCTAGCAGGAACAAGTTAATGGTCTCTGGAGTCCCAGTCTCCAGCAACAGGAGTTGTTCAAACTCCCCTCGAGACCCGTGGCAAACTTTACATGTGTTTTTCGCCAGTTCGAAAACATCTCCCAGCTGCAGGAGGGGGTGTTAAATCTGGGTATCTACGGAGGCAGCGGTCGTGGAGAAGTGTCTGTTTCGGTTATTAATATGTAAAGTAGGGTAGCATCGAGCGAGTGTTCTGATCATCTGTTTCCAGTGGCTAATTTTTGGCATTTTTCATTTACAGGGGTACATTTCGACACGTCGAGTACAAGCTTAGTGAATGAGATTACAACGGCAATTAAAGTATACGCGTACGGTGTGGAGGATTACACGAACGATCCCAGGAATCTGGGCCGATCACTGAATACCCAGCTGTCATGTGAAGGGGTTGGCGCCGCCCGTTGGGACACTGGGGATCGTTTCTTCCGGTACCTCAAGAACGTGAGCGTCGAGGCGGATGCGGGCAAACCGAATGTCGAGTTTACACAAGACGGCGTCTTACGTGCGGCAGAGCTGAAGATCATGAACTTACGACCTGGAGTCAGCAAGCAACTTGTGTGGGAGGAGGTGAGTTTAACTATGGTGTCAAATGTTGCAATCGCGCCATTAGTGTCCTGTTTTGTAACACGAATTACAGTCGGAAGTTTTCCTAAGATTAGAGCTAAATACAAACAAATTTCAACTAATACCTCCTCAATTAAATGTAATGAAACTTCTTATATATTTCATATATTAGCATTGCTGATTTTTTTATATCTATTTAAATATATTTAAGAAATTATGTTATTTATCGATTGTTATAGCTAATCTACAATTGTCGCAAATTCCATATGAATATCTAGTTACTAAACTAGGTTGGATTAAACTTTCTGATTAAATAAGTTACTGTACCAATAGTTAAAAATACAATGCTTTTACAATATTCTACATATTTTAATATTGACGTAAGACAGTACCATATGCAATACCTGCTGTTAGTTCTGATTCAATGTTATCGTACAACATCAAAAATAATAGTAATTTATATAACATGTATGTCTCATATTATGATTAGTATGAACACATAAAAACGTATCTATAATCAAATATTTCCTGACTAGTATTTGATATAAAAGACTGGAAACTTCATGAAACAAACACATAAATTATACTTTTTTAATCATTAATAGTTACATTAATTTTTTAAAATATCGAAAATCATTAGGATTTAAAGCACATTAAAACAAATAATTGCCATAGGTTAATCAATTTTCAAACTAACAAACTTCGGTATAAAGAAGCAATTTATTATAAATTTCATCATTATTTTTTTTTTGCATAATTGAACAAAACTCCATCAATATTATATGTATGCATATTAAAAGTATTATTATAATTAATAAAATATAAAACGAATTATACTATACGAATTATATTATACTTCAACATAAGTAAAATGTAATTAATATTTTTTCTAACTTTAAACTTTCTTTGAGTAGTTCTAACTAAGGGTTTCAGATATTAAAAGTTGATGGATTAAATACTACATCATAATTTTACTATAAATGTATAATTATTAACATTAATTATAATGAATAGGGCTGACAGAATGAAACATAAATGTTTTTTTTATGTCGTATAATTTTATTCATAATCTGTTCATCAATGTGAACATTGAGTAAATTTATGATAGTTACCATTATGATGATTTGATTTTAATTTGTTGGTTGGCTGTCATCTTGTAGGTTAACTTCAGTAGTATATTGATGTTCTGCGATTCCACTATTTCATTTGACTGTGACACTGCTACTGTCCTTAACACTGTCATTGTCCATGAACTTGGCTGAAGGTCCATATGCTGAACGTCATTCATTTGACTGTCCATCTGTGATGAACGATGGCCATATTGCTGCAAGCACCGAGAGGGCTCACAAAGGGCCTGGCTTGACCAGGATACGAACCGGCACCCACTAAATCGTGGGTAGGGCGACTTAAGCATTCGGCTATTAATCGCCCTAACATAAATGTTATAGAAAAAAAATAACATCTAACATCATTAATTTAATGTTATATATGAGCTGAAAATAATAATTGTATGTACATTATTTTAAACTTCACTTTATAATAGGATTGCAGCAACTGTAAACTGAATAATCCTAGGATTTGTTATTTAATTAGCTGGACACAATAACTTCTATACGCTTTACATGAATGCCATTTTCTATATTTATTCGAGATCAATGATGCAATTCACTGAAAGACCATTATTCCATACTATTGTGCATTTAAAACTTTACGAGTTAGTGTGTTTACTGAATGGATATATACATTCAATAAACATGCATATCATATAATTGAAATATTATTCCGTAATTTTCTATAAATAATGTATATACATTTTATCAATTTTAGAATTATATTTTCCATAATTATTATTAATAATAATAACATTTATTGCAACAATAAAAAATACAAAAGAAAACCTTAATACAATAATAAAATCTTAACATAAACAAAACAAAACTCATTAGTTTAATATACTTCTAGAATCCATATTTGAAATAATACATCTAACTCACAAACAGACTTAAACTTTACTCGTTATAGCTTGAAGCACAAATATCGTGTAACAGAAGTAGACATGGTCAGGCCAATGAACAAACGCAAACAGAAGAGGTGAGGTATGTTTTGGTTAAGTATTTTAATGAAAAATGTTTGCTATTTAGTTATATTATGTAACATCTAGAATAGTTACAGAATTGTGTTAATAGTTGTTTTTAATTTCTACTCAAAAAACATCCAGAATTAAATAAACGATGACAAGATTATTTGCTATATTTTTTTTGTCGTGTCTCAAGTATATAAGTATTATAAGCACATAAAATTACATTTTATTTAAATTTGTTATTGGTATTTCAATTCATTAGTGTAATCTTTACAAAAAATATTCAAATTCAAAAATATATAAAGGTTGAATCCAATAATACCAAAAAAATCTTATTGGACCATCAGATAGAAACGGCCGACAGCGTTTTTATCTCCTTAGCGAGCGTAAAAAGTTAGTCTGGGAAGATCTAGAGATTCGATTGATAAAAGGCATATTCCTTACAATAGGTTATCTCCGAGTAGCGAGAAAAAGACCCTTATTTAACGTGTAGATCATTGGTGTAAAATATGAGATCGTAAAATTGCTTTTTATTGTTCGGTTATTTCACATATTATATTTTTTATTTGTATACATTCAGTTGAGTTAATAATTATACAAGTTTATTTTTTATATTTATATACTATATCATTCAATGGACTTTTAAACAGGGGTAAAATACTTAAGAATATCCATGAAAAATATTAGAATATATTCACATGAATATATATTGGGGTAAAAATTGAATGTATTTCTTTAAGTTTTTTTTATCAAAATAGCAAAAAAAACTACTAATAAACGAATTGACAGTGAGGAATATCATTTGTAGTACGTACAGAGCGCTAAACGAAACAGCGTTATAAGTCATTTTAATAGATAGGAAACAGGAACATTAAAAAAAACTTTAATTTTTAAGTTGTATATATAATAATTTGCATTATAATATATGTTTTATATAACACAAACATTTGCACACAGAAATATTAAATTTTATTTTTGTGATGAAGGTCCTGGTTCTTCTGATATTTTTCATATTATATTATATATATTAAGCAAATGTTGATAGTAGGCGATCGCACCCAAAACTCCTCTTTTTACTTTTGTACTCCTGTCATAACTTGGATCATTCACTTCAATTTGATTAATGATTTCGATTATCGTTTCTAAACTTTTTCGAAATAAATCTGTAGCAAGTTCTTTTGGTTCATCGTCTTCAGAATCACTATTTTCTCGTCCTTCAATTCCTTGTTCTACCAGTTCTTGCAGGTCGTCATTGGTAAGGCCCTCACCAGAAACCTGCAGTAACTCCTTAATAATCTTCTCATCTACATCTCAAACAAGCATAGATTCTGTGGAAGCACAACGGTACGTGTTCGGCAATAATCGTATTATATACGAATTAATGAAATGGCGCTATGGGTTTTGAGCTTTTATACAAACCGCGTTATAGTAAATCAACGTTAACCGAGGCAGCGCTAAAAGAAATCTTACTGTAGGTCCAATATGGTGTATGTGGCTTTCAATATTTTTTCATGATCCATAACGATGCATTCATAATAAAATGAATTAATTTTACATGTTTCAATAATGTCTAATTTATATATAATTTTATTACATTTAATTAATATAATATATATTCTTTCAAACGTTAAAGAAAATAAGTGACTTTTATTATTACAACATGAATTACAACTTGAATAATAATAATATACAATTTGTCACATTTTTCTATTTAATAAGTTTTTACAAATTAAATTTATTTTAGATATCTACTAAAAATAAATATATAATAATTATATCAATATATATTTTCTATGTAATCTTCCAATCTATTTTCGTTAATTCCATTTAATATACAAAACTATTTTATTAGAATTTATTTTTACTTTTCTAAAATAAAATTTAGTTTGTTTTGAAATGCTTAAAATAGACTATAGTGAATAATTTCAAGAAAATTATGCCCATAACAATTTATCTACATTTATGTACCTAGAAAATAAGGAACTAAGAATTCAGTATTTAAGAAAGATGTTATTTCTGTTGTCTCAAAGTCGTGGTATGAGAAACAATGCAATATCTAATCATGAGTTTTAAAATTATCGTGTTATATAAAGTATACTTGCGGTAAACGTGAAATAGTGTATAGTGAACATTTTCTATTGCTTATGAATTTTGTCGATTGAATTGTGAAGGGAATTGTAAGTTTCTGAGCACCGTCCCACCGGTGGAGTTGCTGTAAATAGAATCAGATCTCTTATGGGGATTATATACACACTCGATACTACTAGTATTAGTTTTCAATATTTCTTCAATATTTCCTTGAGGAAACGTTCGTACGAGTCTAGCGCTTATGGGAACGTGATGAAAATCCCCGAACTGAACATTGATTTCTCTTCCACGTTATTCGTCTCATCTGCCGGGAGAGTATACATTGATTAGTTTACAGTCTTCTTTTCTTATTATTTTTTGTTTGTGCTGCCTCTTTCATACGTTGTATTATAAAAGCACTGCAGACGAATTACGCGACCCTCAAATATGAGCTCAGAGAAAAAAAATGACGGTGGTAAAATAAATACAAGAGCGGAGACGCAGAATTTTCACATATTTCACTTTACAGCGGCAAAACCAGACTTTATTTTTGCCTGGCTCATACACACGCGACATAATAAAACCATACATTTTCATAATATTTTAGAGTTTTCAAAAATATTATAATTTAAATGCAAGAAACATTCCTCTATAGAGATTTTTTAATTATGCCCATAACAATTTATCTCGTATGTAATTAAGGACATGAATATTATGTAGTAACTAATAATAAAATTATATATTAAGTTTTAAAACGTAGTGTGGTATATAAAATGTGTTAAGTAATGTATTTGCTCATTACACTAATCGAGCAGCTTTATTTTATTCCTGTGTTTTTAATATAATATCATATAATAATATAAACCTAGCTTTCCTGCAATCAAGGTTGTTTGTAGCATTTTTAAGTAATTAAATTACAGGACGCGTTTTTAATGTTAATTAAAACAGTAGAGTTTTAGTTAGATATTATTAGGAAATTTCATCGTAGATAGTCTCAAATAATACTTACAGCAAAACTTTGTTGTACGGATTTGAATTGAACAAAGAAATTATTTTATTGTTCTTCATTAGTCAGGTTTCAAATATTGCGGAATATTGCTGCATATCTACGACCCTAGGCGCATCAAGCATAGAGGCACCAAAGGTAACAGTATTGTTTTCTTGATGGAAGGGTACACAAATTATATATTTGTCCCCATGTGCAAGATTTCCTTACTGAATATTTATGAATTATTATTATTATCTAAATATTGATTGATTCGATGTTTGAGTTTCTAATCCGCTATCCTTAATCCGCTATTGGTTGTACTTACTGAAACTATTCCCAACTAAGCAATACATTTCTCAAGAATTAATTACATATAATACTTTATTAATATATTATCTGATGCAAAGTAGCTAAGAATATTAATTTTGAATGAAAAAAATCCATAGAATAACTTATTTTTAATTATTATTAATATTTTTAATTCAGATTTCAATTTAGATTCATTAATATGTTTTGATTTTATGTACTATTTACTTATTATTTGCTTCTTCTTACATATTTTGCAGTGTCTAATGAATAAATAAACACAGAATAAAATTAAAACAATTTTCAATTAATTTCAAGTGTAGGTCGTAATTAAAGGACGACCGATTTGCTCACGATTAAGTCCGAGTAAACACCGGAACATATTGAGTGGGAGCCTCCCTTCAAACGTGGTATGAGAGTACGTTAGATAAATAAGGGTGTAATAAATTTCAAGTTAGATCTGGATAGAGACCACCTATCAGTTTTAATGAAGGTCCCAGCGGAAAGGGAAAATTCACAATTAATTCCACTTAATTGAATCCGGATCGGACAGTTTTAAATTAAATACTATATTATATTCATACACTGACATTTTGGATCCAGGGTGACCGCCTTGACGTCAATGAAGGCTACGATAACATCTACGTCTTCGTCAAAAAAGTCACGGTGATCCTAGATGTGCGTCATAATAATCTCCATTGATATCATGATGATGTCTATCAGGAATCCGGTATTAGAAATTGACGCAAAAATTCCGGTATTCAGTCAAGTATTATGTATTATGTTAGAAAATATTAACGATTAAAAGTAATTAATAAATTGAGCAAGAAGGAACCGTTTGCAATAAGTGTATGATTATTTAAGTAAAGTTGCACCAATAAGTGTAGAACCGGAAGGACGTTTTCGAGTAAAATGAGTGAGTTTAATAATAGTTACGATAAATTTGTTAAGTTACATACTTAGTTTGCAGTGTATTGTTTGTTGTTTGTATAGTTTATTAATTTAAGAAATATATTAGTATGTTTTCCGTTTTACTTGTTGTCTTTTATAGCGTACATAATAATAAGAATCTATTTATAATTTGTTTTTCTGTATTACCAATTGATTTTTTGGCCTGGCATATGGACCTTCAGCCATGTCATTGGACAATGACAGTGTTAAGGATAGTAGCAATTTCACAGTCAAAGGTAATAGTGGAATCGCAGAGCATCAATATACTACTGAATTTAACCTACAAGACGTCAGCCAACCGACAAATTAAAATAAAAACATCATCATAATGGTAAACTATCTACCGGCAAAGATTTCAACCGCGTTCTTAAATTTACTCAATGTTCACATTGATGAACAGATTGAGCATAAAATTATACAATATAAAAAAATATTTGAATCTTAATTCTGGAAAAAACTTTGCATGTACTTAAAAACTATAAATTGTATACAATTTACAAGCGGGAGTTAAGCTAAGCGAAAATAAATGACGCTTATAAATTACCGTTGTAAATCTTTTAACCCATTAGTTCATTTACACTAATTAAACTTTAAGATATCAACGCAACTGAAGAAAGGCAAACTCGCAAAATACATTAATCATTTCTACACATTATTTTTAATTGATCGTGAAAAGGGAACGTATCAATGATATGTTTAATTATTTGTAAATTCAGAAATAATGTTGCATATTGAAATGTAAATGTAAATATCTACCATTAAACTGACAAAATAATCTTTTGTAATTGGCCTAATGTTCGGCTCGGGATTGTTTCCCAATCGAACCGAAATAAAATTACACAAATATCATGATTTAATTATATGCGCATTCGGAAATACACAAATTGGAATCACTGCATGTTATGGAAGAGCGATTTACTACAATTAATTTTATAATGGTGATAATTTCAATGATCAACGTTACAATTACAATTATTTTAAATTTTAGTATCGCTCGTATAGTAAAAATTATATCAAAAACAGAGGTTATACTATTTTACAAATCATTTTAAAAATCAATTTATTTTAATGAGTTTAGTGTACTTGCTGTGTTTCGAATCAATTTAAACAGTTATTACAGAGCAAATAATTTGATGCATTTGGTGCGTATCATGAATTTCTTATTAATTCAATCCGTTCATGTTTGTGTTCCTTTGTCCTGCGAACAGCGCTGATAGTGATCGATAAATTGCAGAAACCCATTGAAAGACACAACAAGCAGAATTCGTAAATTTTCATCTCAAAATTAATGCTTCCTGTCACAAACAGGACAATACTATTTAACTTTACTCCTTATCCCTGGATACCCGTTTAATTCAAACATTCACCAACATCAATATATTACATAAATGGAAAGAGCTTTACAATACAAATTTATGCTTAGGTGTTTTTACTCAATAAAATATTTTATGGAAAAATATAAGTATAATATTTCATAACAATAAAAAATATTTTATATAAACTTGACAAAAAAAATATGTCTCATGTATTCTAATTATGTGTTCTAATTATGTGTGAACAATTATAGGAACTTGAAATTATACAGTGTAGAAGCATTAATTATGTATTTAAAAAATTTCTTAATATTGGTATACATGGCAGTTGTTGTTTAAAAAAGCTACTATGGTCGAAAGTATAAACCTTATGAAGCTTAAATTTGAAGACGCTACATTGTTTGTTTGACCCCTCTCTCAGTGAGTTTGTTTAAAGGTCTCAGTCCAACCAATGTCAAAGCCGAGTTAGATTCTACTCTGGAGCCTAGACGAACATTACAGTGGTTCTGAAAATTTGGACATGAGAAAGCTGAAAGCAAGCGTCGTGAGGATGTTTATCGTGATGGCCAAAATTAATGAGTTAAAATTCGAATCGCTTCTTCACGTACCTTATTCGTCAGATTTACCACTCGTATTATTTTCTCTTTTAAAACTTAAAGAAATGGCTTGGTGTTATAAGATTTACCAACAATAAAGAGGTAGACTCTGCGGTTGCTGGCTATTTTGAAGAAATCAACGGTTTTCACTATCAACATTGAAGCTACTGAACATCAATTTGAAAAGTGTATCGAGCAAAAAGGAGACTATGTTGAAAAACAAAGATATTTTTTTCCAATTTTTTGTGTGTTTTCTTTGTTAGATTAGGTACTTCTAGGACTACTGTCGTACCTGATTTCAAATTTGTATATTATTGGTGAAATAATCTTATAGCTGCAAAGATACAATAAATAATTGATGAATTTACTTATAATAGAACTAGACACGTCAGAAACTACATAATATGAATATAATAATATAAATATAATAAATTATTCCTAATAATCTTGAAGGAACAACAGTTTAAAATATATTTTATTATAATACCTAAGACACAATTTGACGCAACTGTGAAAATAAAATCTTTTATAAAATATTTTTTTTTCTTCTTCAACATCAAAGTAAGAAAAGCGTGTAAGAAATTTAAATAATGTTTGCAGATCGGGGTGTGGAAGTCATGGCAGCGGGAAGGTTTGGACATAAAAGACATAGTATGGCCTGGGAACAGCCACACGCCTCCGCAAGGTGTACCCGAGAAATTCCACTTAAAAATCACTTTTCTGGAGGAACCACCGTACATCAACTTGGCCCCACCGGATCCAGTCACAGGAAAATGCTCGATGGATCGTGGCGTTTTATGCAGGATTGCCACAGATGCCGAAATCACCGAGTGAGTAGAAACATCCTGTTATTCTCGACATTTATCATATGTGAAATTGGAAATAAATGTGCCTTCACATTAATTTGTAATAAAACACGTATGCATAGATATAATTTATTTAAATCGCATTTATAAAATATAGATTTGCAATAAATATATCTATAATTTATTCGACATTATATTTAATTTTATTGCAAATTACATACGATTTATACACATATTGCTTGAATGTAATAAATCAAGAGTCTGTTAAATAAACAATTACATTTTTCATAAAATTTCATATTCAAAATTTTATATATTTATCAAATTTGTTGCAATGTAAGAAAATATAATATTATTAGCATTAAAATAGTGCAATTTTAAATATTTATAAAAGCTAAATGCCGCCCACTTGTCATTAATGCACAATATTGAGGTATAATCGATCAGTAAATATTATATTGTATTGGCAAGTATGTGATTTTAAGTAAGAAGGAAAATTCTAAATTTTTGCCAAACTATTTTATTTTTTTAATGCTTTTCTGCAATCTCGATTGTTCTATGACGATCGAATCCATAATGGCCTTGATATGGGTTTCATCAACGCCGTTGCGCATTTTTCAATGTAAAATCACCAGAATAAAATATGGAAAACCAATTTTGACCTTTCTTTCATATACATAATTACTTGTGTGCTTGCAATGCATTCTTGCCTTTTCGGAAATAATATAATAAAATATGTCTGAAATGCCCGTCTTGCTCTTCCATTTTTAATTGGGATAAAAAACAAAACTAAAGCGATACAATTTTTACTAAATTAAAGGTGGAAGTCCAAGCAACAAGAAAACAATATTTAGGTGCTTTGAGCACGTTGACAAAACAAAAGAATGTGGTAAGACAAATGATGGACAAAATCCGCAATCACTTAGTTATATATTTCATCAATCTGTCTGATATAGATAATAAGCTGAATTGGTGGCTTTGATAATATAAAAATAAAATGTTGGTCAATGTTTTGACCAATAAATATGTTTAAATAAAAATATAAAATGAATCCTTGAAGTATTGCTCTACTGACCAACCTTCATATAGGTTTATTCATCCACGTTCATACAGGTACACACACGCAGAGAACACTTACGTGTTATCAAATCTGCTAGGCAGATTCTTTGGTTTATATCTGATTAGTCTAAGACGCTGGTTACTTGTATTTGCTGACTCCGAGGCAAGTAGGTTTGGGTGTACTTCCCTATGGTAATATTACAGGCTTTTGCGATAACCTCTCTCACAGTATTTATGTTAGCAGGGTTATGGATTTCATTGTTAGAAATGTTCTAAGGAACATTGGTGATTTGTCTCAGTGTTTTGGACTGGAATTGCTTTATAAATTCAATACTCGACCTATAGGCAGATTCCAAACGCTGGATGCTATAGGTCCATATTAGCTTGATCACTTTATAAATAATTCAATGGAGCAGTGAGACTTCTTGCCCATGAGCCAGCACAGATTTCCCATTCTCAATGTCAATTGCCTCCTCTTTTTCTTGATATGAGATTTTCATTCGTGGATATTTTATATTCTTATAAGAAAAGTTTTCTACATACAATACATATGCATCACAAAATTGGCAACAGTTAATGATTGGATACATAAATATTAAATATTGATAATAATAACTATTATTGCAACAGTCATACAAAAGAAAATATTTATAAATTTCAATCATAAAAAAAAGCAATGGGCTTTTGCGTTCTTTGTAAAAACCTTCTTGTAAGTGTCTATTGACTTATACTTTTTATTGTCATTTTTTTAGTCTTTTTTATGTCTCATTTATCGGCAATGTAAGCCGGTAATGAAAGTTAATTTGATTTGTACCATAAATCTCGAGACGACCTGTATAGAATTCCCTCGCCTTTCGCCACTTAGCGTTGGGCGAACTTCCAATCGATGCAATTTATTGTAAAATAATGTGCCCATGTTCGTACCACATCAATCTCATTTAAAAGCGTACTTTCAGACTTTTATATGCCATTTATTTTCAATTAATTTAAAACAATTATTAGAAGTAACTTTGGTTATAATTTCTATATTCGTATTACTGTGTAACTTGAAACATTTTGATTAATACTATTTCTTTAATATAATTGTTTTATACCTTGTATATTAATAATAATAAAACAAAACAAAAAAAAAGTATTTATATAATCATAAACAAGTATAAAATAGTTAAGTGTTATAAAATGCTATTGACCATAGGTCTTCTCGACCTTAAATTATTAAGGTTTTGATTGTTATTGTTCTAATAATTACCCTAAACAGTACTTCGTGAAATTTATAGTAACTTTAAGATCTGTGATATATAGGAGTTCTACGATGGTGGTGGTGTATTAGCTTACGAACGTCTTGTTTGTAAGTCTAAGTTTAAAGTTCAATAATTGCTTGGTCTATAAGTATTATTAATGGGCTCTACTTTGCTATATTGGATTTTCTTACAAGTTTAATTTCTTCTACAAATAAAAGAAAATTCTTAATTTTCAATCCTGAGCACTTTATCAAGTAGATAAGATAGGTTATATTGCAAAGTCGCACATAGTTTGTACGAATCATAGGAAGTAACTTGTCAAGTCAGCACGTATCACGCTTATTATTAGTCACGTAAAGGACTAATAGTACTCACGCTTCTCCCATATACTTGGAAGTCTCATACAAACTATACTATAAGTAACTTATTAAGCTACGTTGCGGATGAAAACGACAAAAGAATAATAAACATATTTTTTATTTGAAACTTAATAATAATTAATATTAAAATATCTTTAATATTAATTATAATTTATATCATATACAAAAGAGCAATACTTTGCATAGTCCGGGTAATCAAGCAACTAAATACATACACAAAAAAATTGAGTACTATTTTTGTAAGAATTTATTTGTTTTGAAATTTTTTAACCGGTTTATAGTGAATCCGGACTGATTGAAGCAGCAATACCTCGCATAGAGCGAGGTATTGCTGTAGCCTTAATTAATTTCATATAGAGTTTGTAGATGAAAAGATATATAATAACTTTTTAATTTGCTTCGTTATTGTTATAATTAGTGTATTCGTTAAATAATTGCGCACTAAGCATCAATTTGTAAAGAGCGCGAATGTTCGTGAAATAGTATTCTTAATGTGCCTCGAATGCTTTTAGATTGATGTGTGATTCTGTAATGAATCTAATTTTATGACGTATTAAATCCTATGATGTTGAGCAATATCAAATTAATTACGTAAAGTGGAATTATTATTAATCTATATCACATGCGCAGGTCCCTTTATATATCTAATAAAGTACGGTTTAATTGAATTACGAAAACTGCGCGAATACTAAAACATAGAGTTTATTTGCGACGATTGTATCTATACATGTTTGTAAGGGATGCATATTTATACATATAAATCGGCAATTGAATCGGAAGTTTCTCACAGGCAAATGTAATTTAAACTGGTATTAAAATAAAACCGTGGCATTTCTATTTCCGGACTCCATGTTAAATGGATACAAAATAAACGAACTCTATTGTTTGGTAGCATTCTATATCGATTTCATATTTGTTTTTTTAATCGTTCTTCTATATCATTAAACTAAACTCAATTCATTATATCCACGTTAAATTAATTTTCTACAAAATTATATATACATCAATCAATAAATTGTATATGAATTTGATTATTTGTAAATGTTGTTCTCCAAATTAAAATATATAATATTTATTTAAACCATTACAGTATTAAATAACCTATATTACTATATATACTATATACTAGGAGAAGTTTCTAAACCTTGAATAGCACCAGTTCGTTATATGAGATGAAGGATTAATCAAGTCCAATACGATATGCCAAACGACCTATATATTTTTATAATAACTGATGCTTCGCTTTGGTTAAACGACATATAGAAATACCTCGCATGGTGCGGGTAATCGGTACGATAATATCCCGGAATGTTTGAAATCGAGGACATCAAACCGCAAAAAAGAGAATTACTGTATAAAGGGAAAACAATTTTTTATATTTAAAAAAATAATTTTGTTTACTATTTTTTAGATTTTATTTCTATTTTGTCAACTAAAATTTGGTTTGTTAGTGAATCTGACAAATTAAAAAAAAATATCATTTCGACTCGTCATAACAAAAAGCCGCTTACGAAATGTCGATGTTTAATGTTAATTCTTTGTTGAAAGAGAATCATAAAGTTTTAAAATGCCTTGTCATGCCTATGGTATATTTATACAATTAAGTCCTACGATATGCGGAGACACGAAGCTTATAATACATAAGCTCATAACTAGTTGCTAATAACTTAAAACGATGCTTGATGCGCGATACGCACTTACATAAGAAAATATTGTCTATTAACAAAATATGTTTTAGTTAAATTTTATTTTCTTTTTTAAACATTTAGATATTAATATTTTTGATTGATGAGTTTAAGACTATTTTCTAAAATATAATTTTAACATTTTGATTATGAATTATTGCAATAAAGTTTTTTTTGTCATAGTTATACTAACATATTCTGTACCCATATGTAAATCAAGATAGATAGGAAACTAAATATTTTTTAATATTTCAGATATTCTATAAATATATAGAAATGTCATTTAAGAAACTTTTTATAATATTTGATGCAAATATATATAAAATATGCACTTTAACTTGAAGAGTATATAACTATAATATTTTTAATGATTGCTTCTTGTTAAATAAAAAATATATATACAAAATATACATACAAAATTTGTAAATAAAAAATGCATTTGTGTCTAGGTGGAGGGAATATACCGTAACGAAATGAGTGCATATAAAAAATGTTATAAATAAATTATTGAATAGCAAGTCGACGTTGGGAATAACAAACAAGGGCGACGGGGGAAGCATAAATCTGCATATACAAACCATTTTTCCTCTACCCAGATAAATGGCGTGTGTGTGAGCGCACTTTTAACATTCTACATACTACTAGGATGGCATCCTCGT